TTCAGAAACACGTTACAAAGAGTATACAGGTGCATCTTACAAAATTTGAATATTGTGAAAAAGTTTTTTTCATTTTTTTCTGTAACTTATTTCAAAAAGTTAAACTTTCATATATTCTAGATTCATTACATGTAAAGTAAAACATTAGCCAACATGCCTGACCTGAACCCCATATGGAATCTATGGGATATTTTCAAGAGAAAGATGAGAAACAGTCGATCCAACAATACAGAGGAGCTGAAGGCTCAATATTGCCTCAGCAGTGCCCCAGGCTGATCGCTTCCATGCTACTCCTCACTGATGCTGTAATTTGTGCTAAAGGAGCCCCGACCAAGTATTTAGTGCATAAATGAACATGCTTTAAAGAACTTGAACTTTTCTGTTTTGCAAATCCTTTGTTTGATTGATCTTAGGAAATATTCTAATATTTTGAGATACTGGATTTTAGACTTTCATGAGCTGTAAGCTCTAATCATCCAAAAATTTTTTTAAATGTTTTACTTTACATGTATTGAATCTAGAATAAAGTTTCACTTTTTGAAATAAGTTACAGAAAAAAAAAACTTTTTCACGATATTCTAATTTTTTGAGATGCACCTGTATTTATGAAATCTTCATGATCAGAATTTTTGGTCCAAGCTATTTTAACAGGTATTTGAAAAAAGTAGCATGTTTTTATGGTACTAGTGATTATTTTGAATTACAAGTATAGAGTGGTGGGGAAGTTACTCTGAACATGTAATCAAATTACTGATTACTGATTACTCCTTTTAAAAGTAATCACCGCACACACAGGAGTGTCTACCCGTCCGCACCAGCACTCGCCCATCTTGTCCCGCGCTGCTGTTGCGTCTGGTCTCGCGGGAGCAGGTCTCTAATCCACTGGCACTTGACTCGAAAGTGCGTGTGCTACATCCTTTTTACAATCTCTAGATTATAAAACACTGCATTCTGTCAGCAATGTAACGCGGCAGTAACGTATAGAGACCTCGGCTTGTAACTACTCTAATTACTATTTTGAAAATTATAACGTGTTAAATTACTCCGTTACTAAAAAAGCAATCAAATTACAGTAACGGATTACTGCCCAACACTGCAAGTATACAATTTTATAGTGACTACTGTAGTATATTTTTCAGTCTTATAATTAACCATTCATTAGATAATAGTACTTATTCCAGTAGTGTCTGTTCAATTGGTCACTAGCAAGCAGTTATTCATATAAAAATAGTAAGACATAAAAAATTTAATTGGTAACCATTTGAAAAGATTTGCATAAATGGATACTTGTATCTAATAAATCAAGAAATAACTAGGCTACTAGTGCCTTATGATTATTTGCTAGTAAAACTATAATGACTAGTCGGAAGTGAAGAGTTGACGTATTGTAGATATAACCCATATAGAATTCAATTTGCAATGTTAACACTGGTATATTTGCTTGCCAGTATTATCACAAATAATTTAATTAAAAGTATTAACAGCATATTAATACATGTTAGATGGTTAGTTAAAGGGAATGAATGCTACAATGGCTTGCCACACCATTTATAGTGAAAGAATAAGCAAGAACTCCTTACCAGCCCATTGGCCATATGTCCTCAGGGTCGTTTGCCAGATCTCAGAAAGCAGGTACACTTTGAATCCATGCCAACACTGCCACGACCACCTCAGCAGGTAATACACAACCATAACGGAACCGATGCTGCATAACACCAGTGAATACCAGCTGCACTCTGCATTGTCTCCCATTTTACTACTTTGCAACTATACGTTTCTGTCACATGTATACTATACAAAGAGCTTCTTCTGGTATGCTTTATGAGTTTAACGTTGGAAAAAACTCCACATACATACTCACGCTTAATTATATGCACGCTCCTCCAATCGTTCCTTACGCCTATCTGTCATTGGTCGGCAGTATAGAATAGCACATCCTCGAAAGTGTAACTCCGCTTCTAAGTAAACACATTGTTCGTGTTAACAGGTGAGAGGTCGTTTACTTTATGTACTCTTAAGATTATGTGGATCCTTTCGGCTGAGTGCGGTTTTTGGTAGGTATGTGATTCGATAAATGTCTGTCATGTTGTCCGACCTGCCATTCACGTCAAAGTTGATCACTTTTGAATGGCATACTACTGTATGAACAATTTATTACTGTACGAAACAGATAAAAAGCAATGTAGCTAGCATCCCTGATTGTAGCCTTACAGATATTAAATCACAAATAAACGCTGTCATCTCCTGTTCATTTGTAAACATTGACAAGTGTACAGAGGAACAGCCCAGAGTTATGTAGGCGATAGGCCTACAGCACACGAGTAGATGACAGTACAGCTGTCACTCTGTACAGCTTGTTCAAATTGTTTGTTTATGTTTCTATTTACAAACACAAGATGGCGATATCGACTTGTTTCTCAGCCTGGTCTTATGCGCATGTTTCTAAGATATTTTAAGCAGTTACAATGTATTAAAATGTAAGTAGTTGTTTAGTTAAATACACAAATAAATTATTAAAAACGACCAAAATAAAAGAAAAACTTAAAAAATTAAATGTGGGATGACTAGAAAAAATTATCATCTTGGGACAACTGCAATAAAATATTAAAGTGTAATGCAAGAAATAAGTATAATGTGCAATACATTTTTTTTCTCGTAAAATAAATCACTGCTGTATTGTTTAATCTTATTAAAAATTATAACTATTTTTAAGATTGTAGTATAAAAATAGATTTGACTTTACCAAGTAGAAAGCTATAACTAAAACTTTTAAAAGCAGCTCATGTCACATAAAAAAATGATCTGTCAATACCATTCTGCCCTATATATGACAGCTTGTAAGCTGAACAGACAATAAATCTAGCATTCACTGTTGGTGTTAGTTAAAGTGATCCCACCCTCAGTGGGAAAGCAGTGAGAGAAAGGTCATATAATGTTGTGCTTGAGAGTAAGACAAAATGAAAGTTACATTGCACTGTGATATTCCCCTTCATTCCAGTAAACACAGCTTCTAAGAACAGACGTGTGTAGAGTATGATGATCTGCCAGTGAGGAAGGTATTTGTTTGCTTCTTTACTATTAATTTTTTTCTAGTTACTCTTTTGTGAATTTATGACTTGTAGGAACAAAAATATTCGGTCTTGTTGTATTAAAAATTAGGTGCTGACTAACTGGCCTTTTCCTGACCGATTTGTGTTATATATGCTCATGTTGTTCTCCAGTGGCTTACAATTGCTTGCTTAAAGTTTCTCAGTCGATCTGTGGATGTGGAACAGGAGAATTTAAACCATGAGCAGTCCAAAGGTAGAACTTTATTTTCTTTTCTTTTTTTCATGAATTTGTACAAACTGCCCACATTATGACAGAGTACTATAGGAAAGAAATAACTTACATTTTAGACAAAAAAAACTGTATTGTTGTTGTTGTTGTTGTTTTTTCAAATAAAATAGTTCCAAACGATTCCAACCAAATTAATTGTTGCATCTCCTGCCAACACACAGTAGCACTATTAGTAGGGCTAGATTGAGTAAAGGATTCAACGACTCAGACTAAAGGAGTGTCAATTATTTTGTTGTTGAATGAATCATTTGAGTGAATGATTCAATGACACACTCACAGTGACAAAAGTATTTCATTGCCACCTACTGGTGGTAACTTGTCTGTCTATCTTGTAGTGCCCCGGTTGTCAGCAATCTGATATCAGAAAGCTGGATGGACAGCGTGCAGTCTGCAGATCTTGTTCTAAAGCAAAGAGAACTGTGTTTCAGTTCTGCTGGGCATGTCAGAGGGAATGGCCACACAATGCTTCAACCACCAACTCCTGCATGCTGCCGAACTGTGCTTTTCGTGCTGCCCTCCTCAGCGTCAAACAGATCCGTGACCCGCAAAGCTCAATGAATGGATGCCCATACTTTAGGGCCTGTCTGGGATGCCAGGCCCTGTTAACACACAACGGTGAGGGCTGCCCAAACATCATTTGTCCCCACTGCGAAAAGGAGTTCTGCTTTCGCTGCTTGAGTCCAGAATGCTATGACAATGTATACTATGATAATGGCGATGATGATACTGAAACAGAGCCCTGTGTGATAGTGGATAATGCTGAGATCCTTAAACATCTGGGACTCTAGAGGATGACGATAAACTATTAAAAATAACATTTAATTTCACAAGAGAATAAATGTTTTTTTTTTCTTCCAACTTTCTGTTTTTTTCCCTTTTCATTTAAGCCAGAGATGGAGAAATACATATTTGGAACAAACTGTAAACATGATGTTTTAAATATTTGGAACAAACTGTAAACATTTTGTTTTTATTATTCATTCTCATTGTAAAAGCTCCAGTGCAATTTTACTTTTTCCTAGAAAAATACCAGAGAACATATTTAATATCATGGCCGTGATAAAGTGGTCAGGACCAGAAAAGGGAAGAGGGGGCAGAGAAACCATTATGCCTATGGGATGTCCCCACTTTTCACAAAAACAAACCTGTGTGTGTATGTGTATATGTGTGTGTGTGTATGGGTGTATATGTGTATATGTGTGTGCGTGTGTGTGTGTATATGTATGTGTGTGTGTGTGTGTGTATGTGTTTGTATATGTATATGTATATGTGTATGTATATATTTATCAGTCTGGCGAGTAAACAAAAAAATTTACTAGCCAATGGCGATTCAATTGCCAAGGTGTTCGTAGAGGGCTGACTGCTATCTGGCAAGCATTTATTTCCACTTTCATTCTTTGAACAGCAGATGGCGCTATATAAACCTAAATCACCAATCATCTAGTAATCGCTGGCTAAATGAATAGCCAAATAATTGTTTTGCAAAGAAAAAAACAACAACTAAGGAACTGTACATAACAGTATACCTTTTTCAGGTGAACGTTAATATTTTGGAAGAGTGCCAATGGGGTATCTTTGCTATCTATTTTATTTTCTGTTAGGCTACTTCCGCCTAAAAACAGAAAGTGAAAGACGCAGGACTTGGTATTCCCCTTCAATCTATTTAAGCAGACGAGAAATAAATACTTTCATGTTGTGTCTCTTCGCACAAAGAAGTGGACAGAATAGTGTGCTGGTCTCCAGTAAGTACTGGTTTACAATTTGTTCATTTTACTAGTTATCATCATACATTCTGTAGTAAGAGTCCCTTTAACTGCATAGGTGGGTAAAATTAAGACTATTTGAATTCACACTTGTAGGAAGGCATATTGTTTTCTTGTTGGCAGAGACATATTGATTTTCGAAATGCATGTTATTTTACACAGTAGCCTAGATGATGTTCTTGGTAAACTGTCTTAATGTGGATCACACTGTGGTAGCCCACAGTGCGTAACTGTGAGGCACAGTGTCCTCAGTTTCCCTGTCAGCACAGTTCCCAGTACCTTTTGACTTAATTTTCCTTACTAATCGTCTGACCCTCGCCTACTCTCGCGTTCTCTCTCTCTCTCAGGTGTGTCCATCCGTGGAAGCTGTCCAGGAGTATTTGAGCCATGAACGTTCCAAAGGTAGATTGACCGCGCGAGATCATTGTGATCCATCATGACGTCAGACGTTTCGTACACGCTATTTTCAGACACTTGTTCTAACAGAATACTATAGGAGGGAATTAAACTCTTAGACTTAATTTAGCACACTATGTCAAGGTGTCGGATTAACTGTGACGCAGTTTTCCACTGATAAGAAGAGCCTTCCTGGGTTAAAACTTTTAGGATCATTGAGCTATTGCTCATAGTCATTTTAGATATATTTGAGATGTGAAAATGTACACCTAAGGCTACTAGCAAGATTATCCCAAAAAAATTTGATATGAAGCCATGATACTGTTGTTAAATAAATAAGGTAATGATGTCTGTGGAAAGCTTAATGTGTGAACTGAAGTACTTTTGAAACAAAACGTGTACTCCTTTAAAACAGTACATTGGGAAAACATCATAGTTTTTTTTATTATTATTTCGAAGAATATAATTTACACGTTCAGTTACATATTTTACTGGTCATTATGAAGGCCTATATGGAACGCTAAAAGCCTAGTGAAAAATGGCCAGTAAAGTCCTACGTGATTTGTAAAGGTATAACTCCCTGTTATGCCGAGCTCACACGGCATGATTTTCAAAATCATCGGATCATCGTTGTTTTCACACTGCACGACTATCTGGGGTAGCATTCAGTTGCTGCTGTGTTCACACGATAGATCGGCGACAGGAGGTTACACACTGCATGGCTTTACGATAGGAAGAATCGCCGACAACTCTGTCTGGTCCGCAAACTACGTTTCATAACCAAACGCACGCGAGAAGTGATAAGGAAATAACGCAAGATCACGCTGATATTGTGGTCTATAATAAGTCCTCCCTGAACAAACAATAGGCTAACAAAGATGACTTAACGTAGCATACTTCTGCTGGGAACATTTTATATAGACAAATCTAAGTACTTGAAAGTGAAACCAACGTTTTGTGCATTTTACAATGAGCTTGTCTACAAAAGCCCTCAAAGTGATGAAAAAGAAAAATGCAATAAATGTTTTGTCCTTTATAGAATAATATGATTTACAGGGGGAAAAAAACCTAGCCCCCTTTTATGTTTAATTTGTTTTTTTATTGTGTGTGTGTGTGTGTGTGTGTGTGTGTAAAAAGTCCTCCCCGCACTTCCCGCTGCCCTGTATCTTGGTCTCTCATTGGCTGTAGGTCATCGCCGATGTATGTTTCAGTCAGAACTCATTTCACACAGCAGGATTTTGAATCGCCGACAGCTCCTGATATTTAGCATGCCAAATATTTCACTGGCGTCGGCGACGCATCGGCGATTCTCTCAGATCGCGTCTTTGATAATTCACACTGCTTGATTGTCACTCGCGTGAACGAGCACCGATTTGCCTCCGATTTCGGGCATTTGTCGGTGATTTCGCAAAACCTGTCGGCGAGTGAAAATCAGGGCTAAAATCGTGCAGTGTAAACTTATTAGACAGTTTACTGTAAACATTGTATTTAATAGAGTGGGGGAACTATGGCGTCACTTTGTAGGCGGATCGGCTGTTAGCATAGCACTGGTACCCTCGACAAAAAGCCAATGGGGTTTTTCAATAGGCGTTTGGATTATCGCAAAAAATAAGCTCTGTGTTCAATCATAGTTCATGAAACTTAGAGGTTTTGTCCATCAAGATAATCTTCACAAAATAATATAACTCATGAATTCTGAAGCCAAAATAAAAGCGCCAGAACTTAAAAGCTGAACTTAGGCTATAAAGGAACTACAGCACCACGGTCGCTCGCCTTCGACGTCACCACCACCATGCTTCCCACAACTTTTCAAACGTATTTTTAACACCTTCAGTGAAAAGGATTTACGAATTTTAATCCACGCTACATGGACCTTTTCATATAAACCGGAATAAATGCAAAACTAAAGCCAAACTAAAACTGAAATGAGACGTTAGTAATAAATAGTATAGTGAATAAATAAAATAATCATAACTAAAGGACATATGAACGCACGTATTTCTGTACGTTTCGAAATAAGGTGCATTAAAAGTGAATAAAGTACCACATTTCAGCTATCGTTTTGTTAGGATGGGTACACAAAATGTTATTTTATCCTTGCTTCTAGAAAATCCTCAATCTATATGTTTTCTAACAGCTGCTTGTGGCCATAAACATTTCATTTTAACGTGGCTTTACGCACTATACATCGTTAAAGTTTCACTTTCACCGCGACTAAGCTGGTAAATGTGGTGTTTACATGGAATAATCATGAGTTTACCTTATGGTGCGAACCCAGCGTCTCCGTATCAGTAGGAAAGTGATAAAACGAGCATCTTCCATCCGAAGACTTGTTGCATTTCGGGGCAACGCAAAAAAAAAAACATTGTCGAACAACAATATAAAATGCGATAAACTATTAATTGGTTATTCTACAATTAATTGTACTATAAATTATACTTCAATTGGAAAATACTGTAAATTGATAAACTGTTCGGCGTTCCCTTTAGCAACTTGTTAGCAACCATCTTTTTTAAGAAAGTAACAGTTTAAAAAAAATCACGAGTGGGGTGTAACTGGTGTGTTTTATGTCGTAGAATAAAACGTGAAAGTATCTTGAGCTTGTGGACCTTATTTAAGGGAATTTAACCAAACTCCCATTCAAAAAACCTACTGACTCTGAGATGATGGAACCGGAAGTGCTAAAATGCTAACTAGCTTCTGGGTTTTTGCCTAGAGAGTGACATCATAGTTCCACCACTCTATTAGTACTGTCAAACAATTAATCGTGATTAATCGCATCCAAAATAAAAGTTTTGGTTTACATAATATATGTAGGCCTACTGTGTATATTTATTATGTATAGGCTAGGATATAAAGACACGTTCATACAGTATATATTTTAAAAATATTTACATGTATTTACATGTAGGCTATATATTTATATTGATATAATTTATATTATATAAAAATATATTTAATATACAAATATAACATATTTTTCTTAAATATATAAATGTATGTCTGTGTATTTAAATGTACATAATAAATATACACAGTACACACATATATTATGTAAACAAAAACTTTTATTTTGGATGCAATTAATCGCGATTAATCGTTTGACAGCACTAATTATAATACTAGGCATATTAATAATAATAATAATAAATAAATAAATACTTCAGTTAAAGCTCCAGTCACATTAACCGTTCTGCGAAAATTTGCAATTTCATTAGGAATCTATTTTTTTGTTTAAGTTGGCCATGTGAATGGCTGCTTTGACCAACAGCTGTTCGGCTTGAAAATTACTTTTATGTGAGCAGTGCTTCATACGTTGTTACACTCTTGACAACGAACAATGAATTTATTGCCTAAATATTTTGCTATTGTGACTGCATTGTGCTTGTTTCAGATTAATTTATGATCTGGTGCATCTAGGTAGCTTTGCACAGTTTGTGCATTAAAGTTACTTTATACAAAAAATTATAAAAACTTAACTGCCTCTTGATTCCTCAGTCAATTTCTAAAGCTTAGAAAAAGATTTGGAAAAAGGTTTAGAAAAGTTGTAAAACTTGTGGAAATACTCACTCAAACAAATCTTTAGCTAGATCCTTTTTTTTTCTCGCTTAACCATAATTTTTAAGTGAAAAAGTAAGTGAATCTGTGAAGTGGAGCCCCTCTTTTATTTTATTTTGTGACCAAATCTCACAAATTCTTTCCCCCTTCTAGTGTCCTAGTTGTCATCAGTCTAATGTGGGAGATTTGGACGGTCAGTGTGCGGTCTGCAGGTCTTGCTCTAAATTGAAGAGGTCCGTGTTTCGGTTCTGCCTGGCGTGTCAGAGAGAGTGGCCACGCGACACTCCGCCCACCAATTCCTGCACGCTGCCAAACTGTGCGCTCCTTGCTGCACTCCTCAGCAACACAAAAATCACTGACCCACACAGTTCGGCGAGAGGATGTCCATATTTCAGGGCCTGTCCAGGGTGCAAGGCCCTGCTTACACACAATGGAAAAGGCTGTCCCAACATCATGTGCCCTCATTGTAGCACACCCTTCTGCTTCCGCTGCCTCCGTCAGTGGTGCCCTGGGCTGGAGAATATTGAAGCCCTTGGGATTCTTACCAATAGACTGTTCCGTTTTCAAGATTATGATATAACTCCATGTAGAGTTGTGGACAATAAACAGAGTCTCACAGTTTTTGGACTGTAATGAGAAAGTTTTGAACATAAGATCTGTTAAATGCTAAAAACCAATGAAATATGGCCAGTTAAGGCCTACCCTATATGTGATTTATATAGGAATACCTGTTAAACATGCTATTGAAAACATTGTTATTCTTGTATATGTTTAGAAAAAGGTAAGTCTAAAAAAAAAAATAATAATAATGCCGCTTGGATGATTTAGAAGTTAAGATTACCTCTCTTTTTTCAAATCTGAAATGCTGATTACTTTATACTACATAATATCAATAAATATCTTTATAATGCTTAACCCTATTTCAAACTCTTACCAGATATAAAATAAAAGTATTAATAATAGTATATAGTATTAAAGTAAAGAATTCACAACAGTTTTTAACATACACTACACTTGGTAAAACAGTCAACTTGAATAGGGTTTCCCAGCTTAAGATTTCCAAAGCAGCCACTACAGCCTACTACTTGGTTTTAGGGAAACTGATCACATCTCAAGATTAGGCTCAAGATTTCTAGTTCAACCAAAAATCACAATACCAACCCCATGCCATTTACTGACTTTTTTATTCCAGTCTAATGAGGAACAGAATTGAAGTAGGCTAGTTATGAAAATCATTTGCTTGACAGCCATGGTCACTGCATTCACTTTCACTGCAGCTATGGAAAAGGGCGTTTGAGGCCATTCACACAGAACAATAATGTTCTTTTTAGCAGCATCATATGACCCCTTTAAGAACAGTGCAGTGTAGTCGAATAAAAAAAAGGTCTAATGTGGCGAGGGGGATGGAGTTAGGATGTAGTGCAGTGTATGTGCAGTGGAATGTAAAAACACGTTCTTTGTGAATGACCCATCAGTTATTCTGCCATAAACAATATTTTTGTGTTTCCAGATGACAGAAATTTGTACAGGTTTAGAAGGACATGAGGTTGAGGATTTTCCTTGTTTCTTTAAATGGTGCAGATTTACGCAAATACAGCATAGCCTACATGTTGTTTGCCATGTCATACATTTTAGTGTATGTATTTATAAATTAGCATGATTTTACTATGATAATGTACTAATAATTCTATCAAACTTTAATTAACAATTCTTTCAGGCAAATTATGTTGCTACCTGTCTCCCCCCACCTCATTTCTCTCTCTCCAATCAGAGGTAAGAGCGCTTGCCGGTTGAAGCTCTGTACAGCACTACCCAATCTGACTAATCTGATTAACTTAAAATGTACTCCTATCAATCATGAGCTAGTTTGACACACACACACACAGAAGCGGGCCTAGTGCTCATGAGACAAGACAGTTACTTGTTCCAGTCAGCAACAAGTTAAAAGTGTAGGGCAGGAGCTAGTCATGACCGACCGAAAGCCTTCAAGGGTCATGTCCCCTCCACCTCTTGACACCATTATGACCCTGATCAAGACACAAGTGGTGCTATAATACATCCTGGTGTACAGTAAATTAGGTAATAAAACTTGAGAATGGGAGTTTAAGGATATACAAGGACTAAGACAATGTGTGTGTCTTCTCCATCCAGCACCTATGTTGGGGCAAAAGGTGAACTTCGTTTACAGTGCTCTTACAGCTCTCTGATTAATATGAGCCAGCCACAGAGTGTTTAATAGTGCTGCGGTCAAAGCTAAGCCAATATTGCCAGTGGCCGTATGGAGGTCCTTCTTTTAGGACCATTAATGAGGGCAGTTAGTGGAAGGAAAGATTTAACTGGATCAAGCGAATTCTAGAACACACCAAACCATTTAATTTAAGGGAAAAGAATATGGTGCATAACACCATTACGCACCATTCTTTTTTTTATGTTTTTGAAAAGAAAGAAGTCTCATATGCTGACCAATGCTGCATTTATTAAATTAAATACATTAAATTAAATAAATGCAATGAAAGCAATACTATTGTAAAATATTATCACAATTTAAAATACTGTTTTCTAATTTAATATATTTTAAAATGCAATTTATTCCTGCAAAGCTGAATTTTTAGCAGTCATTATATACTCCGGTCTAGTGTCACATGATCCTACAAAAATCAGAAGTCATAATATGCTAATTTGGTGCTAAAATTCAAAAGCATTTGACCAAAATGCTGTCATACAGCATTAACTTTTGATCAACTTCATGCATTCTTGCTGAATAAAAGTATTAATTTATTTTAAAAGCATCTTACTGACCCCAAAATTCTGAACAGTATATACAGATTGTATGAGAGAGTGAGAGTCTATATATATTTATTGTAAATACATGTTTCTGAGGCTTTTAGGAGTTAACTTTTTTTTTGTAAAATCAATTTTCCTCTTTCCATTTTGCACCTGTTTTATGAGCATCAACATCAAGTTAAACATTAATTCTTTCCATGAATCTTTTTTAGATAATTCCAAAAGAATTCTCTTAATGGGACTAATTATGGTGATTATTGTGATCATCAAATTGTAATCACCATCAGCCACTCTTATGTGTCTATTTGTTAAATAATTTATACCCATTTCTATTTTACAAATGAATATTTAAAATTTTGGTCAAACTGATTTGCATAAGTTAGTTTGTATAGGGCCTACATTTGTATAAAAGTCTGAGCACTGCTCCAGTCCTGGAGGACTGCTGGAGGATATAATCGGGACATAATCTTAACAGGTTTTGACCTAGAGCTCTTGCCGCGCCACAAGTGCTTGAATGATCTCTCACAGCCCCCTCTCTCTTGTTTCATATACCTCCATCCTTTCATTTCATTATTTTGAATGCTGCTTCTTGTAATAACAGCTTGGTAACCCTGTAGCCTTTCGTTCCAATTTTCTCCAGAAGCACAGCAGTGAACACACACACACACACCGTGAACACACACCCGGAAAAGTGGGCATAGTGCTGCTTTAAGCGCATCTATGTCTGACTGCAAATATCAGACTGAAATGTAGCTTTTATGTCAAAACAAACTCTAAGAAGAGTGCGATTGGCTTGTGCTATTGGACACAGTGTCACAATGAACAAAGAGGTATGGTGGCTTAGGGCATCCTGGGAACTCAAATCTCCTTTCACATGTTGGGAGCTATAGGCCTACTAGCCAAGTTTATAAACTCAAGAAAGATCAAGAAGTAGGGAGGAGGAGCAGAAAAGAAAGAGGGACACATTGACACTTGGGATTTTTTAATGTGAAATGAGGACTGTTACTATTATCTTTCACTTTCATTAATCAAGGCTGACTGTGAGTTGTACAGCCATTTTAGGTATCCACGACGACTGCCATATTGACCAGTGCAACATAAACAAAAATTACAGAGTGCACCTGAGGCAACAAGACGGAGCGGGACAGTACAGGTACAATGGTTACACTTTATTTTAAGGTTTCCTTGTTACAGTGTAATTACATATTTAAGTGAGTAATAATAATTAACTACATGAATTTACTATTAGGGTTAGGATTAGGGTTTGTCTTAGGGTTACTTGCATGTAATTATGCATAGTTTATTGTTTTTATAATGGTAAGTACTTGTAACGTGTAACAGACACCCTAAAATAAAGTGTTACTTGTACAATCTGTAACGTTTGATGGCTCACTGCTGATCCCACACAGACAGCGGGATCAAATCCTCAGTTTAATTAGAAACCATCATACAACCTATCTATTGTAATATTCATCATGGGATTACATTAAACATGAAACAGTCTGCCTAAAACTTCCATTTACAGTTAGACTAGAAACACTAAAATTGGTTACAAATAATTAAAATTAATGAATTAAAGTTAATTAAAAATTGTCAGTGTTGAAGTGTTGTTATTATTTCTACTTTAAATTGTAAGTCAGTATCTTGAATGTTACTGGACCACAAGCTCATATGCACACTGAGGAGAGACAATGCCTTTTGCCATGTACGTGTGGATTATAGGCTAAAGAGGGTTAAGAAGTCACTGCCTGGATTCCCGGCCTGCCCCTCCTTTCTCCTCTGCTCGTTCCTTATCTCTTGCTGTCTCTCTCTCTTTGTAAATCTGCCTATTCTCAGTAAGACCCAGGACTCAGAGAGGCTCTTGTTCCAGTGGCTTCCCCCATTAGGCTCTCCAGATTGGGTCAGGACTCAGTCAAATAGAGGGCCTCCAGCCTCCAGGGACCACAAACCAAAGATCAACTCTCCATTTTAAAAAGAGAAAGGTGGATTTCTACATCTACATTTTTTATACTATTTTTTCCAAAGACGATAAGACAAAGGACTTTAAAAAAAAAAAGCTTTTCCATCTATTTTGACATGGAATATCTGTCTTTTCCCCACCTTCGATCTGGACTTTTACATTTTTAATTTGGAATTTGTTATTTCTTATTACTATTTCCTCCCTGGAAGTGCTGTTCTGGTCCCCCTCTGGATCTTCTCAGACTCTCTGTGTTCTAATGGGACGAGTACTCACCATGGCTCTCAATTAGCCACACTTACCAGGTTAGCCGATCTTTTGCTCTTTTACTAACAATTCTTTATTAAGGGTAAGAGTAGTTTTCAATATTGAATTTGCTAGAGTAGTCCCTGAGGCTTAGAGGAATAGGACTTCCCTGAGGGATACATTCACTAACATTCAAATATATGGGTCTTTGTCGATAAAGAAATATTATTGAAATAGTATTGTCCATTTACTGTAATGCCCAAAAAATTGCCAGTTTAGTGGTCTTTAGTGTTAATGGTAAAATAATGTGACATCACAAAGTTACAATAACTTGATTGAAACAAAATGTGATCCAAGATCAGGTCATGAAATTCAAGCAGTCATTTCAAGCAACAAACGATCAACTAACACTGGCACATTTATATAACATACTTTTAAAAAATTTAACTTAATCTAAAACACTTATTAGTAATCTTTTTAGTAGTGAGGAATATCTGGAGAGCTTGTATGGCAGCTGATATAACCGTATTGTCGTATCACAGCAGCTGTATTACTAGATTTACATATTTAAGTACTACAAGGCAAGGCAAGGCAAGGCAATCTTATTTATATAGCACATTTCATACACAACGGTACAAATTAAATATTTACACAGATTGTGAAATTCCTTTAGCTGATGAAACCATTGTGCTGTAATGTCGTACATAAAAACTGACTGAGTAAATGGGGGGCTGTGTGGTGTGACAGTTCTCTAATATTGCAGACAGTAAGGCTCTCAAACAAAGGTGTAGCGTGAGTCTGACAGCAAGGTCCCGTGCAA